TGGTTTCACCTATCTTTATGGGTATAAAACGGCAAATATCCTCTAAGTAACTTTTACTTACTTTACATGGAAATAACACAAAATTATGATTTCATGTGATTTCAAGTACTCTTCTGACAAGAAGAGTATTTCAAATCTAACAGTATAAAGCAAAACTGAGTGTTGTAAAACAGTAAACCAGGTATTTAAAGACGGAAAACATCAGCACAAATTCCTAAAAAATGAAACTTCCAAGGTTTCAACACTTCAACACTTCTGTGATTTCAGAAATCAGTAGAACAACAAAATTATCTCATTCCCAGCACAAACCAAGTATATGTCTCTGAAACATATGTATTGATATTTTGGCCTAATTTAATACATACAGAGAATCTGGGATGAATCTGGGATGTGACTGGCTGTATTTCTCCTGTACTGGTCAGGAGACAGGACCTGGACTCTACTAGTCTTTCTTGGGATCTACTTACAGGTTACTACTTTACTTGGGTTACTACTTACAGGAAACTCAAGGATATCCTAACTAAACTTACGTGTTTAATAAGATACTAAAGAAATGCTGCTGAATTTTCAGATTCCTTCTGTTATTTGTATGAGAATACATTGTGTATTTTACACAAAACTGTAAGGAGAAAGCTTCCAGAGGCTCTGACTATGAAGCCTCAAAGTATTGAGGCTCAGAATGCTGGAAGCTGTTACATCCCAGAGAAATCCTAAACCTTAGAAAGCACAAGGAATGCCAAAAACTAAACTTAAATTCTGGCGGATGCAAACTGCTTGAGACCCAGGGTGGTAAACATGTAAGGTTACAAATAGGAGATGCTAAACTTGAAGTTCCTGAGGCAGCAGCTTGATTCGCAGTTCCGTGTTTCATCCAGCTGTGAAAAATAAACAGGCAAAATTATTCAACCATCATTTGCTTTTCCCTGCTTGCATCCCCAAATCCCATGTTTCAGACACAGATTTTGTCTGATCAATATCTTAGTGAAGGCAAGGGATCATAGTCATTCAGGCATGTAATGAGTCACTACCTTTTTGACCAGTTGCATTTTACTAAGAATTTATAACTTCTGGTAGCTTTATTTTGTACTTAGGTGCTCTAAAAGTAAATTGATTAACAGAAGAAAATTGATGTTTAGCTGTGGGGCCAATACCCTAGGAGTCATGAAATATGAGCATTAAACACTAGGGTCAAAATTATTTATCACTTTTTTTTGTTTGTTTTGTGTTTCTAACATTTGAGTAAACCATAAATTTGAAAAAAAAACCACAGTGTCAAACACTTTAATGGCATGAACTAATCTTTTATGCTGCTGCACAAAAACTTATCATCACATGCCTCTGGCAAAACAGCATTTGTTCACTCTAGAAGGCTGAGTATTTCAGGRACATTTGCCCTTTTTGGATACATGTTAGTACCAGGAAATAAAAGGCAACTAATGGGTATTTGCATATCACAAGAAGAATTTAACAGGATCTCAGTGGCTGGTAGTTGGAACTGTGAGAATGTCTGACCCACACAAACAGTAGAGTTTAACTAATAATGTAGAGATAATGCACACATGCATTACACTCCAGTTCTTCTGTGTGGCTGTCTTTGAGGATTACATAATTGCAGTCCAGCTTTACCCAGTGTTGCTGACCTGCGATAAAATTTCTTTTAGCTCTCATTATRTTAATTAGAAAATAATGCTTGAAATGGTGGGATAATGAGTAATCAATTTAGCAAATCCACAGCCAGATAGACAAGTTTTTGCTTGTATTACTTTGCTCACAGTTCAGGTGATTCTGTTCACAAGTGCTGGTCAGAATGGTACACTAAAAACACATCTGCATGAGAAGTCTAAATTTGGATATGGTGGAATTGAGTCTCTGATTTAAGCACCCTATAACTTCCAGACTCTAAGTCAAAATGGAAATTTATGAATATTTTTGTCACTCTTTTTTTTGAAGATTAAAAAAACTGCAACATAACCAAAAATGACAAAACACAAAAAAGGGAAAAAATTTGAAAAAGGTGTACCTATTTTACCTTTGWAGCTTTCACTCTCCAAAAATCGAAATAAATACTTGGATTCATAGAAGAAAAATACAATTCTTTTTCACATCTCTGGAAAAGAAAAATGAAACCTGAGTATACTTAAACTTCAATTTTATTTCATAAAGCATCACTGAAAAGATGAGAGAATGCCTAATAGCCATATATGTCACTGTATATTGCAAGTCAGTTTTATGTGGGCTGATCTATTACTGGAAATTTCTCTGTTTGGATTAGGCAGCATTTTGGAAACTATTAAACCAGATTAAGATCTACTAAACAGTTCCCAAAACCTTGCAGATGACACTGTCTATTACAGTTTTTTCCAACAGTCCTAATAGCCTCATTTGTCACATAGAAACTGAAATTGTTTTAGTTGTTATTTCCCCTAAATTTTTCCAATCTGTTTAGAATTGCTTTAGCTTGCACAAACTGCGTGTACTGTGACCTAAATCCACTGCAAGAAAAGCAAGCTGTTTAGATAAGAATATGCAGGTAGAAYATGTGAATTGGAGGCATGTGATGGATTCATGCAGAAACTGAACATTATAAATACAAAGCTTATGTTTATTCATTATATATTACCCCCTAATTTGGGTATCTACAGATTGTGTTATTGAAAAAAAGCAAAATGAAAACAAAAACAAAAGAACATGGTCTGCAAATACTAAGGTGCTACCTTTCCCACTGAGACATATTTTAAGTTACACTTTCTTTGTATCATAGTTTTTCTCACTATGCACATTACTTCTATTTACTGCACATTACATATATTTACTGCACATTACATCTTTCAAATTCTCAAATTGTTATATCATTAATTGCTATAAAAACACTTTTAAAATACATTAATGAGATTCTTCCAAGTTACATTATACATGTTTTGTGCAGATGAAATGTATCTCCAAAGGCCTCTTTAGAGTTGTAGTGAGATGAATTTCCCTGGTTCAATTAAAAAGAAAAGCTTTTAAAATGAATGAAACAAGTGAARATAATGAAATACATCAGAAAAATTATCTAAGACCAACAAAGATATTTGAATTAAGTTCTACTAACCTCATTTGGGAAAGAAAAGCCTTCATAAAAATATGACAAATGACCAATTTTGCACAGAGAGAGAACAAAGTCATGCTGCATGAAAATCAAAACCAGAAACTGAATTCTTGGGTTCAAGCTTGTAAACACTGTGTGAGAACAACCCACAGGAAAAAGTTGCAGTAAATTTGCTCCTGCACTTGCTTGTTTGTGGCACAGAAGTGTCTTGAGAAGCACAGCAAACTGCAGCAGTGGGGTACAAGTAGCATTATCAGATGGGCAAGAGAAAAGTAGGCGGCACACCACTCCTGTCTTCTTTCAGTAGAAACTAAACAGCATCCCCTTGCACTTCCTTGGAAAAATGCTAGCAATGTCTTTGAGACAAGTTTGCATTTAAAAGTTAATATTAATTTAGTGATTYTGTTCACATGTGTCTTGAAATATTCTAAGCAATATTCTATGGCTTAGAAGGTCTTGTGTACGTGACAGAGGGCAGAGAGTGGTTTATGGAAAACACTACATACGTAACATCTCACACCGTGTATTTAGCAAAGTAAGCAGTATATTTCTAAAATCTGGGATTGAGTKTAATGCCCATTTCAAGAGGGAAAAAAAAATTGCTAAAGACAGCATCAGAAATATTTCTTGCTACACTTACTGTTAGCAGATACAGAGAATGGTGTTACATCTGAAAACTTAAAAAAACAAGCACTTGCCTGGAGTTCTTTTTGCTTTCATTGTGTATATTCTTTATGATAAGATAAATGTGCTTTTTGGGCTGCAATGAAATCCATCATTCAGTTTGATATTACATTCTTTACAAAAATACCTTATGCATGATTAATAGATTTTTTTTAAAATAACCATTTATTATCAGTCCAGCATTATAATGGACTCCTTTTAACACCATTGCTACCTTGTTATAGGACTGATGCCTCTAACCATCGATGATATTTATCCTTTTCAAATATAAAACAAAGGTATAAAATCTATTAATCATGCATCAACCTGTTATAATCTGAACTTCTACTTATACTGCTACCAAATTACGTTCATGATTTTGACCTCAAGTAATTAGTTTGAAATTTTGAATATAATTTTAGATGATACAGGGAGTTATCAAGCACGGAGACTTGGCATGTAAGACATTTAAATACCCATGTCCTTGGTGTGTGAACATTTCAGTTTAATTAGTCTAGCCCTGAATGGTTTTATTCTGCTAGCATACTAAATATAAAGTTGTGGGTTTAGAAATAACTACATGGACCATTGTTTTCAAAGCTTTTTAAAAAAGAAAAAAAGTCTGGGAAAAAAAAATCTCAAAAATAGGTAGTCCAAACCTTTTGGCAGTCTGTTTTCCCCTTGTAAATAGCACAGCCATTTGCCTGTATCTTCTCTGGTTTACAAGAAAACACTCTCAGCCACTAGATGACTTTTTTTGTTAGCAGTCAATGATGTGATGCTGGAAATTATTTTGTAAAGAACACTCTGAGATGGAAGGTGTTTGGCTTTGTTCCTCTTAGTTTATGGTTTCACTGGGTAATACTGTTTAAAAAGACTAGAAAAAAAAAAGGAAAGCAAAACAACAACAACAAAAAAAAACAACAAACCAAAAAAAAACACAGCACCTCCCTGGGACTGAAATACTTTGTATGTGTTGTTATTTGCAGTGCATGCCAAGACATTCATGGGCACCAGAGCCAACCTGGCGAGCTAATTAAATAAATAAATGTGTATGTTTAAAACAGCCTTATAAGGAGCATTGGAAATCTGCAAGATGAGCGAATATCTTATAACTTCTTCCGCAGGTGCGAGGATAGCTACAAGCCATGGACTTTCTGTCCTGCTTCTTGTTTGTGGCTTTGTGAAGGGTGCTTTGCTTTAATCTAAAAGTGCTGACTTTTTCCAATATCACTTTCTCTTCTTAAAGCAAAGAGCAAATCGCCTGTAAAATCCACGGAGCGGACAGCAAAGTTGACCCTAACCTCCAACCACCACTCTGCACCCAATGTACTCTAAATCTCTACACAAGGAGCACCTTCTTCAGGAAGTACAAACAAATTCCTAAATAAATAAATTAAAATAAAATAAAATATTATATAAAAAGAAGAGGATACCACGTTTTCTTGATATATTTTATTTTCTTTGGCGTATCACTGGTATTTTATTTGAAGAGAACTGGTGTGATGTAATCAAATGTTTTGTAACAGCAAGACCTAGTTTCCTTTTCTTTCGGCAAGGAGAAGCCTCATCCTTGACTTCTCAGGGGTTGGCCTGCGAGTCCTCAGTATTACAGAATTAACCATGGATGACATTTGGTTTCCTACGCTGAAAGAACCGTTACAGCCTGGAAGCAAAAAGAGGCCAAATAATGAAACAAACCGTAGTGATTTACCATAAATAAAATACACACAAACTTTATCAAAAAGCCTTTTTTTTTTATTTTTTTCTTCTTTTTTGTTTTTTTTTGCATGAGGAATAGAAAGGAGAAAATATATTCTACAAAGCAGCTCAGCAGACTCGGGGATGTTGTTTCTGAAAAACACATGAGAATATTTTTATTTTGAGATTTTTTTTTTTTGTTTTTGCTTTTTAATATACTATTCTTTTTCCCCTGTGAGGTTTTTTTTTCTGTCTTTTTGTTTGTTTCTTGTTCAATGGTGGCAAGTTCAACTTAGGCCAACCCCTGATGACTGTGTGGAGGTTTATATATATACATCCTTTTCTTTTTGTGTGTGTGTTCTATATTTCAGTGTGTTTTCTCTAATTTTGCAACTCCTGTATATGCAAAACTGACTTAAATTCTGTAAATTGCTTACAGTCTGTGTGATATAACTTCAGAGTAGACATACTTTGGTCCCCATGCAAGCCAGTTTTTAATATTATCTATATGTCGTGCCACCAAGAAACATCTTTATTTCCTTTTTTGACAAAGCATCACTTTTTAGTTTGTAATTCAGTAATGTGTGGATTTTGTAATGCATATCTTCACTTTGACTGGTTTGACCCCCTTCAGCCCTMTGTTTACTCTGTAAATGCACATTAAAATTTGTTATGGTCTCTAGACAATGAATTATTTTAGTTTGTATGTTGTGTTGGAGTCCAAATGCTGAAAGCTCTTTGAACTTGTGATGTTTATGGAAGATGAAGTGATTCAATCACTAGAGACTGTAAAATTTGGTATTGGTTTGCAGTCAAATACTGCGCATAAAGAAAGGTTAGAAACAGGAAACAGACAAATAAACCAGAACATGTCTTTAAGAATGTTCTTTTGGTAAAGAGTTTTAGGAAAGTGAATTTATTACACTGATAAAATATATTTGCATCACAACTCCTTCTACATGGCCAAAGAAGTGTCTTTCTTTGCTTTTTCTGGTAGTGGATTGATATTCTTAATTAAAATACTTTTTGTCTGTGAACTGAATGTGAGAATTTTGCTGTTGAATGATGTAATATGCATTACATGAATTACATTCATTAATGCAGGAAGGAAAAAATTGCTACCATTTGCAGCTGCAATCAGGAAGGTTTTTTTTCTTTTTTTTCTGTCTTTCCACTGATGCTGAAAAATTCACACCCTTTCATTTATCAGCACAGACAATCACATACAGCACATGCTTATTATGATCTATTTATAGCAGCAGTAAGTCGCTGCAGTGTGGTCAGCTGTGTGATTTCTCCTCACTTTTTAAGTACTGTAGAAGAAATGAAAAACTTATGTTTAATGTCTCATCAGTGTGTGGTCTACAGGCCTAACAAAAATGCTCATAAATCTGATGTCTTCCCACATTACTTTCAAAGGATAAAGAACAAATAAAGGCATAGAATCAACCTTTTGCAAAACTAATGCTTCAGAACAGGATAACATATTTGTGCAGATCCAATTTCCCATGCATTTTAGTGTAAGCTTGACTAGGAATAGTCTTTCCTTGGTTTTAGACAAGTATTAATAGGAATAAAGAGAGCAGAAGTTTGGCCTAATACAGACAAATCAGGAATAACCATCAGGACAAAAATATCAAAATTCCTTTTATTTCAGCATAGAATTTATGACCCACCTGTAATATTGTATAATGAAAAAAAATGTCCATAGTTATAACAGTTTATCAGCCAATTGACAAAAATATTAAAAATTGTCCCCTTTAAAATGTTCTGAATCAAACCAAATATTGTGGATCAGAGAGGATACAAAAGGGGAAAAAAAGTCAGGGTCAGAGCTTTTTTGAAGTGTCACTTTCTGAACAAACCTGTGGAGCCAAAGTTTGAGKGCTCTGGAGAAAAATCTACATTTTCCCTGTGAAATGGATATCTATGACTGGGTGATGTGAGAAACTCCTGCCTGGAGCTTGGAAACTTCMGTTTCCATTGGTCTTAACTGGAACCAAATGCTTAATGTCACATGTRTTTTGTTTGTTTACTGTGTCCATATATCTTGTATGATTATTCCATGTATTCACAGTCATAGAGTCTACCTGTCATGACATATGGCATCTGACAGAGCATTTACCYTCACTTTGCTGAAGTTGTTACTATGTTAAAATGATACTGTGTTTTGCTTTATGCTGTTAGCTGCTTGGATATAAATCACCATGTACTAGGAATTCAGATTAAAGAACCAGCTGAAATTAAAAGCAGAATTCTAGACCACTTGGATTAGTGTGATGCAAGCCAGAAGACATTCCCATATTGTGATCTGCTGTTGTTCAACTGTGTCAGTAAAAAAAAACAAAAACAAAGGACCAAAGAAATCTGTAGGACTTTTGGAAAGCCTTTAAATTTTGCATGAGATGCTAAGGGGACAAAGCAATTGTCTTCTTTCCCCTCTCAAGGTGGCACACCCAGACGAGTGATCCAGCCCTTCTGGTTGCAGATCTAGAGCACAGCTTTAGTGTCTGCCAATCTCTGTGTATGCAGCAGCAACAGCTCCTAACAGGAGAAAATACTGCATTTCTAAATTCTATACTGTGTCTTAGCAGCTATTCTTCATATTGAGAATCTGCCTAGAGCTCCTAAAATTTCTCAAAATGGAAATCAAGATACAGTAGCCCCCCTCTTTTCTAAGAATTTTGTTATGAATAATGTTTAGCATAGGAATGGAACTACTGCCATTTTCTGCTTGTTCCAGTTCTAGTTTGGATTTAACAAAAATAGACTTTAAAAGTGGCTTAATTATATCCTGAAAAGCTCCCTGTTGAGCTGGGTATGTAGAAGAGCAATTTGTATCTGGCAGTGGTAACATCTCTCAGCTTAATGTCCTTAACCTTTTCACAAAAAGAGTCCAGTTTTGAGGTGGTCTTTTACATGACTCATGCTTCTCAATTTGTATCCCCAAAGCCTCGTTGCGTGTGTGACTTTCTTCAGATTGTTCCAACAGGTTTTGTTTTTAATAGAAGAATAAGGATGGGTGAGTATGAAACACTTTTGTATTTCAAGGTGTATGCCATCCACACTCACACRCTTTGAAATGTGATCTATCATCAGGATAAAAGAAATGTGTTCCAGCCCCATGAGATGTCAATGACAGCCTTTGCATTACATGAAAATCTGTGACATTTTGTTACTACTATCAGGGATTAGTACTGCAACAGAGCCTGTCTCAAAAATTCTCCTTTTCATTGGGTTACCATATTCTTTGATGCTCTGGAACTTCGTGCATAGAAGTTGCTGCATAATGTGTTTGAACTTCTCTTTCTTAATTGTATTTGGTAGACTTTTTGAAGAAATTTGYGGGGCATGATGCGGGTTAAGATAATGGATTTAAAACAAAGCTTGGCAAACTAATTTAAGATTGACAGTTCCTCAGAGCTCCTATTAAAAAAGGTACTAGAAAATTTGAATGATAAACACTGAATCAGTCAGAAGTAATTTTTATTTCTTCATTCTCAATATTGAATATTGATATTACAGCACTACCTGAAGGCAAAGATCAGAAGTTGGTATCAACATTAAACATCATGGCAAAAGCAATAGCACTGTTTGGAAGTTCATACTTTTTCATGTAGTTCATTGCTACTGTGGTTCAAGATCAAAACCCGAAAACCAGGTTTATTCATATTCATTCTTAAAAGTACTTTTGCTTCATCCAAATTAAATGAGGAACAGTGGCCAATACAAAAATATGAATGCTTGCCTAACATTTTTCAGTGTTAAACATTTAACTTCTAATGAACTTTAATTTCTAATGATCTTAACTTATAATGATCTTAAGTGATGTCATCGTGTATGTCATCTTTAAAAAAAATTAAAAAAAMCACCTTTCCCCCTCCCCCAAAAAACCCCAAACCAGCCCTGCTGTCAGTCTTCAATTCCTTCCTCAAAAAAAAMCCCCAAAAATAATCCAAACATTTGTCATTTGCAGTGTATGGGAGCATTTGTCCGTGACATTAGTGTTGGTAAATGTCAAATGTTGTTTATAGAGCTAAAAGCATTAGGAACTAAGAATGGGATCATCATACTTTGCAATAATAAATTTTTAAAGGTTAATCTTCCATGATTAGCTCAGCTAAACAATGCTAAGCACACAGTAAATTGATTAATGCAACTCACCATAAATGCCTTCAGTCTTTTGTTCTGAGCTTCCTAAATATTGATTTATTTGATTTCACAGTCATAAAGTTTGCACATACACTGACATAGCTGAAAGATTATACATAGTTTTTCTAGTGCTTTACATCCAAACAATACAAGAAGAAAGTTAAATTTGTCTGTAACCRTGAATTACAATCAATTGGTGGAATACTTGCAAAGGAACAAAAGTGTTCTTTCCTGAAAGTCAAATTTAGTTGAAATCTTATTTAATTTATCCTTTTTCTGTTTTTAAAAATGTTTCAATCTAAAAACCAAGACAATGCAAGTATGTCTTAGTACTCCTTTCAGAAAGGTGATAGAGGACAAAGTAATGTAACATTTGTTATGAAAAATCTAGGAGGAAAAAACAACCTTTTCATTTRACAACAATCTAAACTCTCACAATGTCCTATCACCTCAAAATATCTTGATTTTTATAYATATAAAAATATATTAAAAATTTGATTTCCAACTTATCATGCTGATAGTAGAGATAGACTTCAGAAGGGAGCAAATGATTTTTCAATTATTGAAATGCTCTTTCACATTGATGTTACAACACAGAAGGAGGTCTTATGTGTATATGAGACTATTTAGTGAGTGACAGCTCATAAGGAAGCCAAAATATGCATAATAGACTATTAATTCCTTTCTTGTTTTTATGTGCCACGAACTTGAAAAACAAGAGAGAAGATTGCGTCTGACAACTARCTGCTTAAAATAAACCRTTTCATTGAAATCTTTGAAGAAGCWAACTCCTTATTAGAATGACTTATATAACTATGACCTTTGAAATTATATGGGGTTTAGATTTTTAAGAAGAGTTATATATATTGTATATAATATCCTTGTATGTAAAATTGAGAAAGGAGATAATTACTTCTTATACTACTTCTGATAGAAGATTGTGTTCATTGCTGCTGATTGTTTTCAATACSAAATGATTTAAAAGACCCTTAAAATCATTGGCAACTATCCTTCAAAAAAAAATAGGTTCCAATTTTTCTGATCATCTACAATACACTTTAGTTTTTGGGGGTTAACCAGCCCTGATTCAGGTTTTCGAAATGTTGTTCTTTCATCATAATAGAGAAGAAGGATTCTACACTTTATTAAAAATAAATGTCAACATGTTTACTAAACCACTTTAATGTCTTTTTCTTTGGTGATTCRAGCACAAGATATATTAGTTTTGTTCATATATTTCATCTACTCAGTGGGGCTAAGCACTGAAAACAGACAGGGAAAAATGGTTCCTAGTTGTTCCACCTGCTAATTGAAATCCTGTGTTAGAGAGAAAACAGAGGAGTGATTCTTTCTCTTTCCTTACAACAGCCAACAACAAAGAGCATTCACAGGGATACCAAGCCAAATCACTGCTATAAAAGATGACAGTGGTAGTTCAACTTTGCAACAAGGTGAAACACAATGAAATTGAATGCAATTCCTTTAGCAAAATACAGTTTCTTTTCTTCCAAAACTATTACTGTCCTAACAGATATGAAAGAAAKTCTTGCAGTCAGGGCTTTGAACATGGAAAGGTTTTGTCCACMTTTTGCAACTGCACAATGGCAACCCCAGAGAGACACTCCTGTCTTCCTTTCTTCATCTCTGTCCTGCATATGATTATTAATTGTCAGGGAAATGAATATAAGATAAAGRATAATAATTTGCTATAGTTATATCTTTTTTCATATAATAATCTTTTTATATCACTTAGTTAACTCTATTTTACAAGTTAAGGCAATGTTCACATAAATCATTGGAACTGTAGATAGTTTGTTGGGCATTTATTTATAAATAGTTCCCAGCATTCAAGATAGGAGAATAGGCTTAAAAATTCTCCCAGTAGTATTCTAAAGCTATTTATACGTCAGAACTACTGGCATTAATGGGGGAGGGAAAAAAAAAAAAAAAAAAAAAAA